ATTTTATATTTAATGTAATATTATAATCTTATTCGAATGCAGTACGTTGTACTAAAATATTGTAATTTTTGTGTTAGTGTACTAAATTATTGTTAATCTTTTATTGTATATTAGTACTGCAATATTAATATTATTAATATTAATTAAAATATATTAAATTTGATTTTAGTTTTATAGAATACGATACTTATGATCCTATATAGTATAATATTTGCAATATATGTATTAATATGATATATAAACTGTGATTTTAGTTTTATATAACAGTATAATCAAACTACTATACTATAATTCTAAAACTATAATTTAAATTTTCCGTAGAATGTCAATGTCATTTTTAATATATTAATAAAACACAGTAAATTTAATTTCAATTTTTCATGATACATTGCTATCACCGTAATTCCAGTATTTACCAACGCTCTAGTAGCATATCAATACATAAAATTAAATTTAATTTCGATTCTACATAATCTGTACTCTCCTATAATTAAAATACCACAATTTTATCAGACCACGAACACCTTCCACCAAATCCACACCTTTCCAATCCGATTTCTTATTCTTCATCGTATTCCTTCCATACTTTATCTCCTCCTTTTCCCTGTATATTTATCTCTTCCTCGGATCATCTTCGCGCAATGAACACCTTTTGAATTACCTATCCTCTCCTTTCGCGACGGAATGAAGCGATTTTTAAAGAAACCACGCGGAATAAGTTACCGCGAGCGAAAGAGAAAAAAGAATTCGATCGTTTAGAAGCGAATTCTTTGCCCTTGTTCGACGCGACTCGCGGTGAAACCAGTCGCGCTTTCCTCTCTCACCTTATTCAGCACCGGCGTGTAGATATCAAGGAGATCTTGCTGGCGTGCGAGATAAAGACCCGTGCATCCTCCGCGTTCTGAATTACGAGAGACGGATGATGACTTAACTCTAACGAGTCTTCCTCGACTAGCTTTTTTTTTCTTTTGTAGAACCGAGGTGGACTCCGTCTCTGGCAGCCGGATACGTCGATTCATTATGCCAACTATGCGGGAAACGGTCCTGGTATCGGCCGAGGATTCGCGATCTTTTCTCAGAAATTCCCGTCTTTTTGTCGAACAAACCGTTTCGTTGCGAATTCGCGAAATTCACGTGCACCTCAACGAATCACGAATAATTTCGGGTACGTTGATTCTGCGAAGCCTCCGATGGAGTTTGGAATTTCTTTAACGTTGGATTGGAATTCTCGTCTGAGGATGTATTTGTTGAAATAGTGCGAGTGCTGGAATGTGTAAAAGATGTGGTTTGGGTTAGATAGATGAGTTATGGCTGTGCGAGAGTTTAGTTAATTTCATGAACGAATTTGAGTGGGCAAATTGGAGATAGATGAATTATAATCGTTCAATTAATTAATTAATAGTGCATTGTATCTCTAATTGCTAGAAGTGTCACTAACTTAACTAATTGTTAATTTTTTAATGACGTATCTCAATTTTTAGGATATGTCAAAAATATATAAAAGAAAATGGAACATTACTGCTAGCCATTTTGAAATTAAGAATATATTTTAAATTCAATCATTTGAAATATAAATTATTTTTTAGACTAATAAAATTAATGGAATATAAATTACTTTATGTTTAAAAAATTCAGATGAATTTGAATATTATATCTAATACATATGAGGTATCAAAGGTAATTTTTAATACTGATTGCTTTACGTTTAGAAAAGAAAGGATAAATTGTAATTTAAATATATTTTATTAATCATAATGATAAATTTGTGGTAGATTTAGTTGTAATAATTTTTTAATACCTTAAATTGCATTTTTAAATATTCTTTAAATGATTGTTTGTAATTGAAGGAGTTATACTGTTGCAATATACATATAAAAAATATACCGATAATGTAATAGAATATTTAAATATTCTGTCATCGAATACTAGAATACAATATCACATATTCGATATACCATGTGTACCTTAAAAGAAAGTTGAAATTTATGTTAATAATCACTACTTTTATTTGAACAATAATAAAGAGTTAATTTATAAAGATCTTTATACAATAATCGTTCGTGTATAATTTATTTTTATATGTTCATAAATCTCTGTTCTTAATCCTTGCTCATTGTAAAGAATGATATATACACTCATATATGAAAGTATCCGAATATTTACATTTGCTGCTTTTACCAAGTGAAATATGTATGTTGATCCAAACTGTCTGAAACAGCATGGTAAGTATATACAGTGAAGGCTCAAGATTGGTATCAGTAAAATTGGAAAATAATTCAACGAGATATATAATATTTACATAGTATTTATTATATTCATCATCGATAAGACACAAAAATATTCGAAGTTGCAACATTAATCGAAAGTATTATTAATTGGGAAATGAAAAGTTTTAATACGATATCGATCCATTCTTTATTCCGATGTCAGCCTTAAAACGAGTTTGCATAGAGTACACTAGCGCCACCATAGCTCGTATTAGTAGTAAATACACAGTAAGTATCGTATATATCAGTGAATTATTTGTTAATTTTATTCATATAATTTCAAAATATAAATACATTTTTCAAAATATAATTTAAATTAAATTCTTATATATATATAATTCACTTTGATATATACATATATACATACGTATATATTTCTTCTGGCGAACTTAACAAATATATGCCTTTGAATACTTTGAAATATGAAATATCCCTTAACTCAAATATAATATAAGACATTTATAACAAAGATGGTAAAACTTTCTTACGACAGAAGCAATATTTAAAATATCAGGAATAATTAAGAGCCTTACTTTTTAATTAATTAATACTTACGAGTATATTTTAATTATTAATTTATACACGCTATGGTGAATTTCTAAAAACCTCTGTAAGAATCAAAGAGTCGCAATGACCATTTCAGAGAATTTATTTCTTCTGCAAAATTTCGATTCATAAAATTCGTCAAAATAGTCAAAAACGTTTCTAATTAAAAATTTGTTACGGTTCTAATCCCATAAGCTACCTGTCAACACCCATCTCCTTCATTTCCCTTCATCATAGACTAACTCTCGTTCATACTCTTTCCTCAGATTCCATCGAAATACCTCAACCTTCATCTCTATTCCACCCCATCATCTCGTCATTCCCATAACTCATCCTATCCAAACCAACTTACTTTCTCCCTAATCGCAAACCTCAGCAACAATCATAGCCCTGAACCTGACGAAAAGCGTACGGTGAAAGCAGAACTGACAGAATCGTTAATATCTTTAAAACTATTGAGTAGTGGCGAGTATAATGGTATATATTCTTGGACTGCATGGCGAAATCTACAAACCTACAAAGTTTCAATTAAATCGGTGACCCGGAGGACTTGCACTCTCCTTGTGAGCTAAATCCAGGGAAGAAAAGGCGCGTGAAGAAATGGTGTTTGTTCGTAGATGGCGCGGCGAGAGGCTTCCAAACAAGCGAGCCTCTATTCTCAAAACTTCATTTCCCTTTTACCGGCTCACCATCCCTCAACCGCGTCTCTGAAAAAGCCTCATGATCCCATTATCGGACAGACGACGACGTGCTACGTACTGTCGTTTGGCTGGGCGCAAAAAAGGCAGCGGGCAGTCTGAGATCGGCGGATAACAGCGATATCGAATCGGTTGGGGAACGGAAACGAGGGACGGGGCGGATGATCCCGGGCGGCGGCCGTGGAAAAAGGAGAATCTCGAGGCGAGTAAGGAGGTGGGGACAGAGTCGGTGGTTCAGAGGCTGTGTCAATGTGTCAGAGAGACGGTCTCCGTGCCGGGGTTGCCTTTTATGTCCACGTAATGTGGGACCCGGAGGAACTCCTGAGAGAAAGAAGTGGGGCCACGTCGACGGGCCCCGCTTCCCCCACTCGCCGGCCTAACCACCGGCTCTCTCGCCCCCACCCTTCTCTCCAGACCCTCCTGGGAACCCGACAGCACGGGATTTCGCCTTCGTCCACGTGGTCCTATATTTACGAGCATGAACCGGCGTTGCTCTTTTTCTTCGCCATCCTCGTCCATCGCTGGGACCCTTATCGCGAATCTTGTCGCGATTGGCAGCGTGGATATCGGACGCTCTCCAATGCTTTCGTATGTTTTCGAGAACGTTGTTTGTGTGGGAAATTTTTATGCACCTGGAGGGGTTTGGTGACAGTGGTATGATTGAAGAGCACGGCTCGTTCAGACGGTCATCGTTGTTTCAGTTGTTTCTTGGTGTTTGGGAAGCCAAGTCGCGAAACAATTTTTTCCTTTTAGATAGGTTTTTTTGGTATTCTTTTTATGCTTGGTTATATTATAAATGTTGGAATTTAGGTTTCAGTCGAATTGGTGTGATATCGAACTTTTCGTGAATTTTGGAAATGATACGTTGTTTTTCTTAAATTTAAGATGTCATTGCGTAGTATTGCAATGTTAGAGTAAGTATGTTGTTTTAGAAAGTCTAGCAATCTTTTAATTATATTTGATACAATTATTAGTACCAGTAAAAATTAACGTGTAACATTAATTATAGTTCTCTTTATCTTTTTCTGTTCTTTCTATCCTATCTCTGTATTTTTTCAATAATAATATTCGGATTTAATTCGAATTTTGACGATTAAGTAGAAGAATACGCGAAAAAGAGTTGTGGTTCATGTAAATCGTTAATAAGATGCAATAAGTCGTTATCTATAAAGGGATAGATTAGATCACATCGTATAGTTTCTTGCTCTAATCAACTATTAACTATAGACTTTACCATAAATGCTCAAAAGCATTTAATATTTCTTAATCTACCTGTATTTTATTGCATTTCTTTTAATATGTATGGGTTTAGTATTTAGTATTTAATATCTAGTATGTAGTATCTGACATTTAATATTAATTATCTAGTACCTAATATCTAATATAGTATTTAGTACCTAGCGTCCTGAATTTAGTATGTAGAATTTAGCATTTAACATTTAGTATTTGAAATTTGAATCTTCAGTGTTAATTTATTTAGTATCAGGGTATTGATGTTAAGTTTTTATATGATATTATTATTCATCCTAATTGCAAATTTCCCAGAGTAAAATTTTAATTAGAAATTTTTAAATATGTAGTAAAATAGGACCCTCGAGATATAGAGGAATAACCATAGAAATCGAAATACGAGTTTCATACGATAAATAAAATCAATAAGTCTGTTATCATTTCATAATAAGATCCTTCATTTTTGAGATATTTATATGAGGTTAGGTGTCATTTCTAGATATATAAGTTGTTAAAACATCAATAAATAATTGAGTTATTTCGAAATATCTGGGAAAAGAAAATGTATACAATGGGACGTTGAACATTGAAGGATTGTGTTAAATAATATTATCAATTCCTGAAAATTATTAACAACTTTTGGTAATCTTATAGTTAAAAATTCTGCATGTAAAAGGCAGATAAAGGTGAACTTTGTTTCTTTAAACGGAATTGTATGTTTGCATTATTTGCTGTATGTTATAAAATTATTAATTGAAAATAAATTTTTAATTTCGATATTACTATGAAAATATTTTTTCATTAATTTTATCTAAATTTCTATAAATATAGCTAATACTAGCTCTCATTAGTAATTACTTTCTTATTCTTAATCTTCCAATTAAAATGTTTTCTTAACTAATAATTTTCAGATACGATTAATTTTAATACTTTTATAGAGAAACTATTAATTATTATGTACACATTATGTACATATTTATGTAAATTTAGAAATATTATTTATTATTATATTAATCTTAATATTTGTTTATTGCAAATAAATCTATTAATATTCTTTATACGTCGAGCTGTATCGAATGGAATATAATAAATTAAATGTGAATACAATGGAAAGAGCATATATGACCTTTACACGTCCTTCATTTAAGAATATCAGAATGTGCCCCCTTCGAAAGCATTAAATCCCTATCTGAAATATTTATCGCCACGGATAATAAAAATGACGTAATTCAAAATGATAATATCAAAACTACCTACTAGATGTCGTATCATAGTTCAGTGATTATGTTTCTATCTACGTTTACTTACTATTAACTTATTCTGTCGATACTGCAATTAAAAAGAATTAAATTTATAACTCTCTTTATACCAGTTTATAATAAAATGCAAAATAATTGGTGTGATATCGAACTTTTCGTGAATTTTGGAAATGATACGTTGTTTTTCTTAAATTTAAGATGTCATTGCGTAGTATTGCAATGTTAGAGTAAGTATGTTGTTTTAGAAAGTCTAGCAATCTTTTAATTATATTTGATACAATTATTAGTACCAGTAAAAATTAACGTGTAACATTAATTATAGTTCTCTTTATCTTTTTCTGTTCTTTCTATCCTATCTCTGTATTTTTTCAATAATAATATTCGGATTTAATTCGAATTTTGACGATTAAGTAGAAGAATACGCGAAAAAGAGTTGTGGTTCATGTAAATCGTTAATAAGATGCAATAAGTCGTTATCTATAAAGGGATAGATTAGATCACATCGTATAGTTTCTTGCTCTAATCAACTATTAACTATAGACTTTACCATAAATGCTCAAAAGCATTTAATATTTCTTAATCTACCTGTATTTTATTGCATTTCTTTTAATATGTATGGGTTTAGTATTTAGTATTTAATATCTAGTATGTAGTATCTGACATTTAATATTAATTATCTAGTACCTAATATCTAATATAGTATTTAGTACCTAGCGTCCTGAATTTAGTATGTAGAATTTAGCATTTAACATTTAGTATTTGAAATTTGAATCTTCAGTGTTAATTTATTTAGTATCAGGGTATTGATGTTAAGTTTTTATATGATATTATTATTCATCCTAATTGCAAATTTCCCAGAGTAAAATTTTAATTAGAAATTTTTAAATATGTAGTAAAATAGGACCCTCGAGATATAGAGGAATAACCATAGAAATCGAAATACGAGTTTCATACGATAAATAAAATCAATAAGTCTGTTATCATTTCATAATAAGATCCTTCATTTTTGAGATATTTATATGAGGTTAGGTGTCATTTCTAGATATATAAGTTGTTAAAACATCAATAAATAATTGAGTTATTTCGAAATATCTGGGAAAAGAAAATGTATACAATGGGACGTTGAACATTGAAGGATTGTGTTAAATAATATTATCAATTCCTGAAAATTATTAACAACTTTTGGTAATCTTATAGTTAAAAATTCTGCATGTAAAAGGCAGATAAAGGTGAACTTTGTTTCTTTAAACGGAATTGTATGTTTGCATTATTTGCTGTATGTTATAAAATTATTAATTGAAAATAAATTTTTAATTTCGATATTACTATGAAAATATTTTTTCATTAATTTTATCTAAATTTCTATAAATATAGCTAATACTAGCTCTCATTAGTAATTACTTTCTTATTCTTAATCTTCCAATTAAAATGTTTTCTTAACTAATAATTTTCAGATACGATTAATTTTAATACTTTTATAGAGAAACTATTAATTATTATGTACACATTATGTACATATTTATGTAAATTTAGAAATATTATTTATTATTATATTAATCTTAATATTTGTTTATTGCAAATAAATCTATTAATATTCTTTATACGTCGAGCTGTATCGAATGGAATATAATAAATTAAATGTGAATACAATGGAAAGAGCATATATGACCTTTACACGTCCTTCATTTAAGAATATCAGAATGTGCCCCCTTCGAAAGCATTAAATCCCTATCTGAAATATTTATCGCCACGGATAATAAAAATGACGTAATTCAAAATGATAATATCAAAACTACCTACTAGATGTCGTATCATAGTTCAGTGATTATGTTTCTATCTACGTTTACTTACTATTAACTTATTCTGTCGATACTGCAATTAAAAAGAATTAAATTTATAACTCTCTTTATACCAGTTTATAATAAAATGCAAAATTTTGTAGAAATTTTTCAAAAACATTAATTGTATGTATATTTGAGGAGGTAAATGCAAAGCACATAATGCAAATAATACTGTAAACGCTTTCGAAGAATTTATTAATCTTAGGATCTCAAATTTCTATTATGATGAAATAAAATATATTTATATTACGTCTTATCTTTGCTACTGTTTTATTGTTTCAGAAATGTAAAAGAGGGATAAGTGTTCTTTTATATTATCTTCTGTATTATCATTTATGTTAATAATACTTTGTTGTTGTGTTTGTGATTATCTTTTGTGTTAACAAGTCTTATCCGAACGTTCATGCTCTCCAACTAATTAGAATATTGTATTTACAGTCTTTTTTACATATATATTAAATATAGTATAGTAATATATAGTAATATATGTAGAATACATTGTATAATATATCGAGTATATTAAAATATTGAATAACTTTCTGAATTTTAAGTTTTTCAAACTTTTATTTACCAAAAAATCAGCAAATATTTACATAAAAAGTTTCTTTTAGTTAAAATAACATAGTTTTCTCAATTTTTCAAACCTTAAAAATCAGTCTTAACATATTTTAAACAATTCGACATTATTTAATAAAATTCTATCCTTTCTTAAATTGGATATCTAAAAAATAAATTGTAAAAAATAAATTTATAATTTATTTTCACTCCTGTATAAGTTTGGAATTTTCTTATGTATAATATAACATTTTTGCACCAATAAAAAAGACAATAAGAAAACCTTGTACAAATCTCCGAATTTCTTTAGTCCCTTCTACTCGATCATATCTACCTAATTAACATACGGGGATACGATAACATGTTCATCGTGACTCAAGTTCTTCATACAATTAATCCAACGTAAGAAATCCAGATATAAATAAAAAATAATCCTACATCAACGAACACCTACTCTCTCACCGAATGCTCAGTCGCTATGCAAAACAATCGCAAATAGAACCTAACTACATCCCTACTCCCGGCACGCAGCACACGATCTCGCACACACACACGCATACTTCGAGCCATAAAACACAACGAAAGATCGTATTTCTATTTATATCAATCCCTCATTGCATACAATACTCAGACGAACACTACGTCCACCTTACTAACCAAACCTGGCCCTGTACCTAATAATTCTACTCCCATTCCTCCTCCATGTTAAATCACCGAACTGAACCAGATGAATCTGTCTCACAGGTCCCCTAAACCATCAGCTTTGCCCGTTTTATTTGATCCAGGCAGGTATTATCAACGCGCACGAAGAAACTGGATCGGCACGGCAGCGGAATATCAAGGAGTTTCTTGGCGAGCAATCGAGGGGATGCCAACGATGCAAGAACACTTGAATGGAGCCACGGGTAGAACCAGTATTCCGAGATGCGGTCTCCCGTGCCGTCGTTCAGGATCCCGCAGAAGGGGCACCCGTTTCGAGGAAGCGGCCGTCGATTGGAAATCGTACCTGCTGCCCGTTGAATGGACCAGATCTCTTCCCTCCTGCACCGAGGCCACCGCGCTTTGCTCCCTTTTCCCTTTCCTGCCAGCCCCCTACCTTTCCTGCCCTACCAGCCCGACAGACGCGCGCGCCCTCAGCGCGATTCATACCCACAGCTCGGCATGGCTCCCTTTTCTTCCCGTTCCACGTCCCGGCTTTTTCCCGAGGAGGTGTGCCGATCGTTGCAACCTGGCCACCACCTCTCCAGGCTCACTCCACGATTTTCGTTCCCAACCACTGCCTGATGGTTAATCGATCCACGCTCGTGAACCCACGCGTCAGCTCTGGGCTCGATCGGGTTACTTTCTCTGAATTTTCAACGCACGATTTCTCCACTCTGGCCCTACAGCAAACGTGGAGGGGCACCTGAATGGCAGACGCTGGCTCGAGGAGCCTCGCATTCTTCCATGGCTTTCGAACCATCCCCGGACCAGTTTCTTTCGGACCTTCGAAAGCATTTTTCTACATCTCCACGCTTCTTCCTCAGGGGGTACCACCGGAATTATTCCTCCCCCTTGGCCCCCTCTCGCTCACCAGCATATCTCTAACGTTCGTCCTTTTCGTGTCTCTGCGTTTCGTGTTTTGCGTCCAATTTTATCCTTGTTACTAAGTGTACGCGCGAATAATGCAGAACTTTTTTCCAGCCCTGGGAAGCTTCGGTCCACCAGCGACCAGTGGGTACCCGGTGACCGGGGTTCATCTCTTTCATCGCTGGGATTAAATTATGCATGCTCGCAAACGAATAGCTAGGTAATTCTATCAAGATTGCAGGTCTTGTGCGGTAAAAAGGCGTAGGAAAGAGCGTGTTCGCTGCGACGGGGTAGGGGAAGAGTCAGTTAGGAGAAGCAGCGACAAAGCCAGCGGCAGTCAGCCTCTAAACGACGAAGTCGTTGCTTTCGTCCCCGACCAAGAGCGTCCTCTTCGTGGAAGAGCCGTTGGATCGTACGATTTTGCCTCCATGAATTACCGAACGAGATTCCAGAGCAAATCCTGACGCGCGGGGAATATCTTCTTTCTTTTCCAGCGGGTCGAGGCCGATTTTGTCCCGATTCGCTGCTCCACGATCGCCTTTACACGGATTCCATCGGCCAGCCGTGGCATTCCAGCGATTTCGTGCCGAGCCCCGTGTACTTTCCGCCATTGGGATTTGTTCCAGTGGGGATCGGGATATCTACGATTCACTGACAGAGGGTAGACCGTGAACACTTCACGCTGCCAGCCCTTTTGTCGGCCGCGGATCGTTTAACTCCTTCGCATTTGTTCCAGCAAAACGGTACCCAGAAGCTATGTTCTTTTGAAGTTAGCACGATCGGATGGCCGATGATGCTTGCCTGGTCTTTCATATCGACGCTTTCATTCGATCCAGTCGAATCACGGCGCCTTCGTCGAAGATCGTTGCGGTTGTCGGAGTATTTGACTACTTGCAATTTTCCCTCATCTTTGGAGTATTTAATCGCGAGGAAACTGGTGAATTCGAGGATCGTGATTGTCGGAGAAACGAAGGGAGAGTGGTTTAATTGGGTCCCGGTTCAAAGTGTTTTGGTTATTAGTTCTTGGGATAATGGCTGAGCAGAGATTATACCTGGGTTAGACGTGACTCTGGAGATTTTGAGTCCGAGTAATGGGTTCGAATGTGGTTTTCTTCGAAGTTGTGTTTGTTTCTGTGGATTGGAGAATTGGATTTTGCGAGAGAGGAGAGTTTTCACACGCTATATGCAATATGAAATTGAATTTTTAGATGTTACCTGCAGGGTAACGTATATTTATCGTTTTTCCTGTTGAGGATGATTTTTGAAAATTCTATGATGATAAATGTTGTGGAAAATGTGTCGGATTATTTAAAACAAATTAAAGAGAACAATGTTACGCAAAATATCCATCGTTAATTCTTATGTTAAATAATATTTAATTAAATATAAAAATATTTAACTAGTTGTATAATTAAATATTGCAATACGAACCAACGGTAATAAATAAAAATTAAAACTGCTAGAAACAATAATATACACAAGAAGTGAAATATTAAATAATAATTGAAGCATACAAAAATTACAACAAAAAGTAAAAATCAGAATATATATGTTTGAAAAGTGGAATAATAAATAAAGGTCGAATTATAAATAAAAATCAAATCAAAATAAAAATTGTACTATTAAAACGTAAATAAATTTGAATAATTTTATAATTAAATATCTCAGTATATAAATAATAAGAAAAGGTAATACATAAAAATATTCAAAAATAATTAAAATATGTAAACAATTAGAACAATAAATAAGAATTAAAGTATACAGAACATACGAAAACAAATAATAGCTAGCTATATATGAAATCAAAAATTAAGCTAGAAAGGATCAAAATAAAATAAAAATTCAAAATAATACTAATTATGCGTCGAAAATTTTAAAATGTCGAAAAACCCTCATAAGCAAAGCAGTTTGAAATTCCTAGATTCCTTCAGCACCTTTCCTCAACCTTTCTACCTTCACTCTAACTCGCATTTACAACCATATGTCCCTAATAACTCGTTTCCAGTCGTCATTATCCAAACACCGTATTAATATCTCACCGATATTTTACCACAGGATTACTTCACCAACCGAACTCGTTAAATCGCTCGTGTAATCGAACGGACATAAAACAACGCGGAGCATACTTTCCAATAAACTTCAGACAGATTTTCGAGGCGCATTACACGCTTCTCGGTTACAATCGTCTTTCGTGGAAAGTCAGCCGTGCAAGAGTTAATTGCGATTTCATCCAGGCTCTCCCAGGGAACGGTCAATGATCAGCCTTATACGGATTTTATCGGGCATTCCAGTGGTTTCGTAGCCGACTTCGGAGTAATTTCCACCATTGAGATTTGTTCTAGGAGCTCCGCGAATCGGGAGCGTCTGCGAGTTGCTGGTATAGAAGGTCTCGCCTCGATTCTCCGCTGGTTCGACCACTTCATCGTAGTTTGCACGAACGTTTAAGTACTTCCTCCGAAAGACCAAGTCAGAGTCTTGTTTCCCGGCTACTGGAAATCGTTCTGGCCATGGAAGATATCGCCCGTTTGCTTCGACGATCGCGTTTCAATAAACCTAACTCCTGGGAGACGAGATTTCTTAATCGATTCAGATTTAGCCATTGCTATAATACTAATAGTCGAAAGTAAACGATGCAGCGGATCGTGCATCGAGATTTGATAATAGAGCGTAAATTTAGAGATTTTTAGCGTGGAATGAGTCGTTTTACAAGATTGGTTCATGTACACTTATATAATACATAAAAGTGTATAATGCGAATGATTACAATTTTTTTCGAAAATTTTTAATGAGTGACATAAAACTGGAATATTATAGCAAGAGAGAAGATCGATGTTATAACGGTGAAATTTGTAGATTTATAATACCTTTATTAGGAACAGGCACTATTGGTTAGCTATAGAAAATATTTCATAGATATAGTTTCCTATGAATACTACAATTGGATATTAATATTATTACAGAATAAGAATTTTTGATATTATATGGATTCACCTTTCGTTGCTTTCGATTTTCAGGTGAACTCACTAGCGCCACCATAACCCGTATCTCCAATGAATGTATTATTAAATATCGAATATCGTATGCATCGTATATATTGAACTATTGTTTTATTTTACTGATGTGATCTGGGACATTTATGTATATTATGTATATGGATACTACAATTGGATATTAACATTATTACAAAAAAAGAATTTTTGATATTACATGGATTCATCTTTCGTTGCTTTCGATTTTCAGGTGAACTCACTAGCGCCACCATGACCCGTATCTCCAATGAATGTATTATTAAATATCGAATATCGTATATATCGTATATATTCAATTATTCTTTTATTTTACTGATGTGATCTGAGACATTTATGTATATTTGAAAGTTTATGTTATATATTTATATTTCTTTTAATGAATTTAGAGAATTAAAAGGTTGGGAAAAATTTCACTTGGAAATACCATTTTATCTGTGCGTAAGTCTGTGAATTGCATTCCGAGGTCATGTAGGTAAGATAAATGAATAAAAAGTATTGATTTTTACTATGGTTACGAAAATATTCCTAGATATTCCTAGGATAATCATTTTGTCCTATGAATGGCTCATGTGTAGAAAATTTTTAATAAAATTTTGAAATAGTGTGCTTAATGATAACGTGTTTAATAAAGATCGATTAATGAATATACAATATTTTGATAATACAATATTAATCAAAATTTTTCAATTGTAGGACTTTTATATAATGCGAATAATAGTGTAAATATGTTTACAAAATTTGTAAATTTCCTAAAATCTATATTTCAGTTAAATAACTTCGTTTTAAAATAGATCATACTTGCATGGTATATTAAAAAGTTTCAGTTTGTTTTGTAATAAGTCGGGAATTTTATTATGGTATGTATCTAACATAAGAAAGAGGATATGTTTCTCGATCACAAATAGTAATAAGATCTAAAAATAAATGGATTCAGTATCGTAAAAATAATAATTAACATTAACCATTGTATGTTTTGTGATTAGTTGAATTATGCTGAATCATATACTGAATTATTAATTACTGAATGTAAATATAGTTGACGTAAATGCATTAATCAAAAGAACAGTAAGTAGATGGTACACTGACATGTTTATAAGAGTACGACTGAAAAGATAAGTGTAAGAGTTAAAAAATATGAGAATTAAAAGAAATTTAATAAAACTGTATTGCATTATTATTTACAGCAATATTTCAATCCTATTATAATGAAATTTTTAGCATAGATTGATAACTATTTTGTTTAATATGAAAACAGTTTTATGAAACAATATATTAAAAATTTTGATTTACAATAAATAATTCCAATTAGAAACACTGTTTAGTGCTAAAAAGTGGGCAGCACCTATATAAAAAATTCGACGTTATTTACCTAACCTAATAACCCATTATTTCTATAGTATTTTATATTTCTCCAAAAAATTATTTTTGCATTTACTTATTTTTCTAGGAATTGAATAATTTCTATATATTTACTATTTATCGCAACACTAATAACCGTTTAATATACTTCATTTCTAATAACGTAGTTACCTTTGTTTTTCATTTTTTAAGAAATTAATATAAGAATTTATTTCGATATATTTTTGAAGAACTTCGTATTTATATTTATGTCAGAAACTGATTAATTAATCGAATAAATTACTCACTTAGCCAAAGGCGTAGATCTTAGTTGATTGAAAGTCAGCATTTATAG